CCAGAATTTGGCAAGATGTTGAATTCAATCTTAACTTTGAAGCTGGTTTTCTCTAAATAGGATAACAATTTTCAGAAAATATAATTATTATTATTATTATAAATGTCCTCCTGACGTGAAAGACGCTATACAAATGTAATCTTGTTGTTGTTGAGACTGTATTTAAGAATTAAGGGAGGGGACAAGGTGGAGGGACTGCGGGATGGAGTTCCAGAAGGTGGGAGCAGAGAGGCTCAAGGTCCACCAATGGTGGGCGGGCGAGGCGGGGGACATGAAATAGGCCGGAGGCCACTGAGCAGAGGGAGAGCGGGCAGGATGGTAGGGGGTTAGGAGGAGGTCTCGGCGGATCCCAACCACTAGCTCGGGTGTGGATCCCTGAGTATCCAGCGCCTTTGGACGTCCTCCTGATATGAAAGGCGCTGTACAAATAGAATTTGTTGTTGTTGTTGTTACAGGCTATGGCTAAATGGAATTTCAGACATTGGATGTTTAAATTCATAATTCATGTATCGGTAGACATTTTGCGTTTCACCCACAGTCACTCCACGGTACAGTATATACTCGAAGCGCTTTGAGACGTCTCAACGATGTGATAAGGCACCATATCAAGTGCAAGGATTATTATTATTATTAGAATGCTTTGAGTAGCAGCAACACCAAAGAAACACTATCGGAATATCCCTGAGTCCCACATTCTGCCTGACAGCTGAAGGTGGTGATATTGCCGACAGTCCAAATCTGTGTCCTTTTATATCACACTCATTTTGTCCTCACCTTTAAAGCCCTCCACAGCCTTGTTCCTCCCTAGCTCTGTGACCTCCTAAGCCCCTACCAACCTGTCCGCTCCCCACCACTCAGCGGGCTCTGGCCAGCTTCACGTCCCCGCCTTGCCTGCCCCACAATTGACTGGCGGGCCTTCAGCCTCTCTGCCCCCATCCACTGGAACTGCATCCCACAGTCCCCGCGCCTCACTAGCCCACTCCCTTGCCTCCTTCAAGACCCGTCTCAAGACCCTCCTCTTCGATCATGCCTTCGGTCAACAACAACAACAACAACAAGATTCCATTTATAAAGCGCCTTTCATGTCAGGAGGACGTCCCAAGGCGCTGGACAGTTGGGTAATGACCCGAGCAGGGGGGAAATGGTCAGGGTAAGGGGAGGGAAGGGAGGGAGCGAGGAGGGGGTAGAGAGTCGAGAGGGGAGCTGAAGGCACGGTCAAAGAGAAAGGTTTTGAGACCGGCCTTGAAGGAGGAAAGGGAGGAAGCGGCGAAGGCACTGGGGGATAGAGTTCCAGAGCCTCGGGGCTGAGAGACTGAAGGCCCGACCACCGATGGTAGGGCGGTTGGGGCGGGGAACGTGGAGCAGACCGGAGCCGGAGGAACGGAGGGTACTGGCAGGTAGGTAGGGGGGTAGTAGGTCAGAGAGGTAGGAGGGAGCAAGGCCGTGAATGGCCTTATAGGTGAGGATGAGGATCTTGAAATCAATCCTCTGGGGGATGGGGAGCCAGTGGAGGCGAGCGAGGGTGGGAGTGATGTGGTCGCGGTGTCTGGTGCGGGACAGTACACGAGCTGCAGAGTTCTGAATGACCTGCAGTGTGGAGGGAGGGCCGGGAAGGCCGGCGAGGAGAGAGTTCCCATAGTCCAGCCTTGAGGTGACAAAGGCGTGGACCAGGGTTTCAGTAGCGTGAGGGGTGAGGTAATGCCGTAGTCTGGCGATGTTCCGGAGGTGATGGAAGACGGTGCCAGTTGTGGTGCGGATGTGAGGGAGAAAGGACAGCTCAGGGTCGAACAAACGCCGAGGTTCCTGACTGCTTTGAGAGGTGGAGAGTGCAGCCTTGGATGCTGATGCTGTCAGCGCCTGAGGTGCGGAGGCGCTGACGTGAGCCAATCAGGAGGGCCTCGGTTTTTCGCACGTTGAGCTGAAGAAAGTTGTCTCTCGTCCAGGACTCGATGTCGGACAGACAGCTGTCAGGACATCGGTGGTCGTGGAGTTGAGAGTAGAGGAGGAAAGGTAGAGTTGGGTGTTATCCGCATACATGTGGAAGTTAACTCCATGTCTGCGGATGATGTCACCAGGGGGAGCATGTAGAGGGTGAAGAGGAGGGGACCGAGGACAGAGCCCTGAGGGACACCACATGAAACAGTCACCCTCCTACCTCCAACCCCTCTGCCCTCCACCTCCTCCTGATCCCAACCACCAGCTCAGCTGCAGATCCCTGACTGTCCAGTGCCTTGGGAACGTCCTCCTGACCTGAAAGACGCTATTACAAAGGTAATTTATCGGTGTTGGTGTTTTCCATCGCTTCACACTCTGCTCATAATAAAAACAACCACAAAAACAATAATCCTTGCATTTGATGTAGAGCCTTTGATATCAGGAGGTCTCAAAGAGCTTCACAGAATATCCCAAATAACAAAAATATGATGTTATAAAATTTACGATGTGCAATTTTAAAAGTCTCCAGGCAGTTACGTAACAAAGAGCATAATAACTCCATCCTTTTGACCGAAGGGCTCGTTTTATCTTCTGAGTTGAATGTCAACTGGAACTAACGCAAGTGCTTATTCAGCAACATCTCGCCAGCATCCATTCAAACCAGCACAAATGATGGATCAGAGCAAAAAACAATTTGAAATTTCATGTTACATTATTTGCATCTCAAACACAAAGAGCATTTCTTCCCTTCCCCCCACCCCACCCCCAAAGCATCGGGTTTTGCCATCTGCCAGCTATTATGCTTCACTCAACTCCGGATGGTGATACAAAAGGTCAACTAATGTTATCGATAACACTGAATGCTTCTGTCAAGGGGACATCCTAGGTCGATGCTAAGAGATTAGCAACTCCATTGATGTTTTCGGAGTCTCTGATTTCAAAGGCAAACAAGAAAGATGCTTAAGCTTTCAAGGCAATGCTAATCCTGGAAAAACTCCCTCCTCATGTGCAGTCTGCACGTAGAATGAATAGGCCAATAAATCATTGAGAAATAATTTATGAACGCTGGTTACACACTGTCAGATAGACTTGTTAAGGCCTGGTACTGTCATTTAATTGTGGGCTTAAAGGTGAGAAGGTAGCTTTCTCCGATAGTAGAATAGATGAAGCGCCTGTTTTAAGAATAGATTTAGGAAGGTGACTTTGTGATGACAGATCAAAACTTTCACATCCAGAAGCCTGTCATCGGGGATGATACAAATCAATGCCAATGCCAAAATAGTCAAATTGGTTCAGAGAGCATCCTGGCAAGAAACTGGAAAAGGACATATAGATTTTTGGATTTCGGGTCTGCAGTTTTTTAATAGTCATTTTAAAGACAGATCTAGCTCTTACTTCACAGCCCACCAGTTTTCTAATTCTGCTCAAATCATCCAAGCATTTCCAGATAAATGGACAAAGTAGGCTTTTGAAATAATCAGCAAAAATAATGGCAGCGAAGAGGAAATAGTAAATCAAGGGCACATATCCTGCTGAAGATAAACCCAATTATTATTCAACTGCTGGATGTCATTGCAAAAGACAATGTTTCCCGTGATGCGTGTGACCTGTGTTAGCTTTGCATCATTTATTTTTGTATTCTATACTGTAACATAGAAAGAGGAGGAAAAATTGCTTTTATTTGAATTTTTCTTCATCAGAGAGTGTTGCGGTCTGGAATGCATTACCTGAAAGGGCGGTGGAAACAGATTCAATAACAACTTTCAAAAGGGAATTGAACAGGTACTTGAAAAAGAAAAATTTGCGAGGCTATGGGGAAAGAGCGGGGGAGTGGGACTGATTGGGTCGCTCTTCCAAAGAGCTGGCACAGCCACGAAGGGCCAATGGCCTCCTTATGTGCTGCAATATTCTACGATTCTGTGAACAAGCTGAAGCGGATCAAAGCTCTTCACAAGTAATTTATATGAAGCATGTTAAGCGTTTTGTAGGCGAACATGGCAGCTGTTTACATTGGCCAATGTCCCATGAGCGGTCATAAGATGGATGACCAATTAATATGGGGATTGTTAGCCGGTACACCAGGACAAAGTCCCTTCTTGTTGTGAACAGTCCTTGGGATCACCTTGGGATCATAATATACAACAACAACAAGATTACATTTGTATAGCGCTTTTTACGTCGGGAGGACGTCCCAAAGCGCTGGACAGTGTACAGCATTTCAGACCCGAGCTGGGGTCAGGAAGGGAGAAGGGAGGGGAAGGGGGTGACCGATGGCATGGTCGAAGAGGAGGGTTTTGATGCAGGACTTGAAGGAGGCTAAGGAGGGGGTGAGGCGGAGTGACTGGGGGATGGAATTCCAGAGTTGGGGGCAGAGTGGCTGGAGGCTCTCCCGCCAATGGTGGGGTGAGTGGGTCGGGGGACGTGGAGCAGGCCGGAGCCGGCTGAGCGGAGGGAACGGGCGAGTTGGTAGCGGGTTAGGAGGTGATAGAGGTAGGGTGGGGCGAGGCCATGGAGGGCTTTGTAGGTGAGGACCAGGATCTTGAACTGGATCCTCTGAAGGATAGGGAGCCAGTAGTCGGGCGAGAGTGGGGGAGATGGGGTCACGGAGTTTGGTGCGGAAGAGGACACGGACTGAATATCCACCTGAATGGCACTTTCTTTAACCTTCAGAAAGGGTTAAACTCAACCTATTGAGAGCTCTACGACCTTCTTGGAAAGTGCAATGTACGAAAAGCAAAGGGGAAATGTTTCCGATTTGAAACATAAAACCTTGAGTCACCCCAGCCTTGATAGGACCCATGACTTTATATGTTTTTCCTGCGAGTCTTATCTCGATCGTGCTTGAAACACGCAAGGTAACAAACTGTCATCTTTGTCTCCTTTGTAACACCAAGACGTCAGGACACCCGGCTTGGGATTTCTCGTGCCTGGTAACACGAGTCAGTCCCTGATGCTCCGATGCATCAATTATTTTTTATAGCTATTCGAGGATCACATTTCAGCAATATTCCTTGTAATTATATCGGACATCCGTTACTTTTCATCTCCCAGCAACACACAAGGGCATCAGAGGGACAAAAGTTGACGAGACGCAGTACACACGCCAGGGACATTCCTCCAGCAAATCAATCCGTTTGTTAACTGTAACTTGAACAGTGCAACGGTTCAAAGTTCATCCAAAGCTGCGAAGGGAAAGCCATAACTTTCACAGAATCATCAATCCCGAGCAAAAAAGGAAGGGAAGGAAAGAGAACACCATTTGCCAAGCCCCGGCAAGAAGGGATTTATTTGCTCAGTTATGTTGGAAGACTAAAAGCAAATGTCTGATCTGCCGAGGGTAAGCTAACACCTCAAGAAATCATTTATTGTTTTCTGCTCTGGACCGGGCTGTGTATTTCTGCCGAGTGTTGCATTTCCCATTCCCATTATTGTTTGTCAGGAATAAAATTAGTAATTACGTTATTTCAAAAACTGCTAATCTGTGGTGTAACATCCTTATTTCAGAGATGTCAGTCGCCTGTGTGAGATCCAACGGCAAATTTATTACAAGCATTTCATTGTTCGCCCTCAGGAAACGCAGTTCTGCAAGGAAGGACTGGCATAAACGAACAGAGTTCTCTATCAGAAGGAACTAAGGAAGAGAAAGAGATCACTTATGGGAATTGCTGTAAGTGAGAATGGTTCATTGTTCAATACCCAACTATTATTGCACAAAAAAGCCAGGCTGTAAAGATTGTGCACAATTCTTCTGCTGTGGAGTATTATAGATTGTAGGAAAGAAATAGATTGTTCGCTGAATGGACATCAGCTATATCCTGCTAAAGCCATAAATGTAAAAATATGGTGTGTCTGAATAAAGATTATGATCTGTTCATTCAATCAATGATCCCAAACTGATATTGATTTTCTTTCATGCTAAGAAATGCATCCTTTTTTTTCCCACAAATGTCACCTTCTTGTTATTGTTGTTATCCTGGCAATTCAGCTGTCAACTTAAACGGGGAAATATCTCGAACCTCAAGAACTTCAAAGGGGTAAAGAAAATGTCATAAGCAGGAGGCAGACTTGCAGCATGATAGACTTCAGTGAATCGGGCAGCAGGTTTGTGCATTTACACACTTGGGGAATCAAGATTATACAAACACACGTCATGTGTGGAGAAGCACTAACTCGTGATAGATATACGGGAGACTATTTGATAGGGTCGAAAATAAGAATTACGCAGGAATCAGTGATGTATTGCATCGATCTTAACCGATAAGAGTACAAACGCTGTCATTGTGCTGCAGGAATTATTAGCCACTTTCAAAATACTGTACTGAGATGCCGGGATAATGTAAATGTAAGCAACAACAAGAACAGTATTATATTTGTATTCAGTGACCTTTCACGTCAGGAGAACGTCCGAAGACGCAGGACAATCAGTGTTTCGGACCCGAGCTGTGGGGTCGGGATCGGGGAGGATGGAGGGCAAGGGGGAGGAAGGAGGGCGGCCGAAGTCACGGTCGAAGAGGAAGTAGGAAGTGGAGATGGGTCTTGAAAGAGGCAAGGGAGGGGGTGAGGCGGAGGGACTGCGGGATGGAGTTCCAGAGGGTGGGGACAGGGTGGCAGAAGGCCCGTCCGCCAACAGTGGGGCAGGCGAGGCGGGGGACATGAAGCAGGCGGGAGCCCGCTGAGCGGAGGGAGCGAGCTGGTTGGTAAGGTGTCAGGAGTGGCAGAGGTAGGAGGGAGCAAGTCCATGGAGGGCTTTGAAGGTGAGGACCAGGATCTTGAACTGTATCCTCTGTGTGATGGATCACGGAGCCTGGTGCGGGAGAGGACACGGGCTGCAGTGTTCTGGATGATCTGCAGCCCATGGAGGGAGGAGTTGGAGAGGCCGACAAGCAGGGAGTTTGCGTAGTGGAGCCTGGATGTAATGAAAACGTGTCTGAGGGTTTTGGCGGCCTGCGGTGTGAGACAGTGGCGGAGCCGGGCGATGTTGCGGAGGTGGGGAAAGGTAGAGGAGTTCATGGCACGGACGTGGGGTAGAAAGGGTAATCGAGGGTCAAACAAGACGACCACCTCGGTGAGCAAACTTAACAGATTGTAAGTGTAGGACTGGTGAAGTGACAGCACAAAACCAACAAAAACTCCAGCACCAATTGACAATCCCCATCCCTCCTCCTGCTCCATGGAGATATATGGAACAGATTCCAGCAAAGCGAGGTGATGTTGTGTTGAATTGTTGCTTCAAAAAAAAACTTGATTTTGAACCATTGGCACCTGAATTTTGAGTTTGGGGATACTCATCTCTCTAAAAAAAATGCACATTTTAATAAATTCTGTAATAAGAATTTGTTCCTCTATCTACAATATAATATTTATATACATATATATAATAATAATCCTTGCATTTGATATAGTGCCTTATCACGTCTTCTAGACGTCTCATATCTCTTCACAGAATATACTGTAAGGTGAATTTGACCGTATATTTTGTGGCCGAAATGCGACAGACAATTGCGCACAGCAGCGTCCCACAAACAGTCTTGGATTGAGTAACCAATTTATTATTATTATTATTATTATTTTTCTTTGAAGGAGTTATTACCCCAGGAAAGTGATCTGCTAATTGAATAACAACTGGGTTCCTACTGACTGCTAGGTAAACGGAGGCGTGTGGAGTAAGGAAACTTGGCCAATGTTTTGCCCTGCTGGGAATTGAACCCAGGTCCTCTCGCTTGAGAGGCGAGTGCTCTAACCACTGAGCTACAGGACTCACACATATATAGAAGTTTGCCTACTGCGAACGTTCGAAATGTAATTGTTTGAAATTAGTTGCGCCACGCATCAACAACAACAACTTGCACTTATATAGAGCCCTCCATGCAGGGTAGCATCTCAAAGCGCTTAACAGTGGCGGAGTGACTCCGAGTCGGGGGGGAGGAGGGGGGAGGTGGCCGTAAGTGCGGTCAACGAGGAAGCTTTTCAGGTGGTACTTTAGAAAGGGGAGAGAGGGGGGAAGGCAGAGGGATTGAGGGAGTGTGTTCCAGAGTTTCGGGGCATAGTGGCTGAAAGCGCGACCTCCGATGGTGGGGCGGAGGGTGCGAGGGACGAGCAGGAGGCCGGAGCCAGTCGAGCGGAGGTGCTGACCGGGTGGTGGATTGGGGAGTGAGGAGGTCGGAGAGGGAGGGAGGTGCCAGGGAGTGGAGGGATTTGAACACGAGTGTGAGGATCTTGAAGTCGATCCATTCGGTGATGGGGAGCCAGTGGATCCTTGGCCAGAGCTGGTGAGATGTTGGGACAGAGGTTGGTCGGCAGAATCAGGGGGGAAATATGATCAAACATTAGCTCTGGTGCGCACACTACTGTGTATTCAAGTACTCAAAATGCCATGGTTCCAATATTATCAGAGTATAATTCTTTCACAGTTCAGCACTTTCTTATTCAAGCCAAAGGACACGTTAAAATCTTTTAAGGAGATCACCGACTTACTCCTAAACAAAACTTTCAGTTGAGAGCAAGACTCCCTTTTTCTTTAATTATATTTCCTACTAAGTAATCCAGGCATTTTTGTTCTGAAAATTACTAGTTGATGGTCTGCTAAAGGAGCTTTAGTAACGATTTCCAATTATATGTCATTGAAATCCACCAAATCAAAAGCAAGTGGAGTTCAGATACAATTAACTTAAAGGCAGTGAAAACTCTAAAATTAAAAAGGAGCTTTTCGCCCTGCCCTTGTTCTTCAGAAATAAATCTACAATTAAGGTCTAGGATAACCCTTCCAAATGCTAATTCTATTACTTATCTTAAAAAAACATGACTTAGTATCAAAAAAGATTCAGTATCAGTTTTTTTAAAAAAAAACATTCTTGGACAGAGACAACAAAAATTCAATGACCAACCTCTTAAATTTACGGTAATTTAAACGTAACCCAAGAACATTTGCTTCATTCTTTTTATTATTTGGGTGCAGAAACATGGGTGCGGTTGGAATTTGGGGGGAAGATTTGACTACTGTTTTACTTTCCCACAAGTTTTCTCGTCTTGTTCTTATCTCAGCCATTTACCTTTCTCCACATATCCTTCCTTTCCCGGGACTGAGGCCAACATCACTTCCAAAATCAACACTGCTTCTACGGGGTGGAATATCCAACACAGAAAGTTGGCAACAGCACTAAAACACAACGTGATGGATTTGAGAACTGTGTGAACCAAAACTTGGACAAGAATCAAGTCTAAACTAAGCTTCTTAATCACAAGGTCGCTGAATATTAAGACGCATCATCAACAGAGGTTTGATTATATAGAAGACACTCCCTACCACAAATTTGATTCGAAGATCACACTAATTAAATGTTTTGTGCACTTAAGCAATGTATAAAACCAAGCTTAAAGTGCATTCAGCTACTGCCTGCTCTGGAGACTTGCTCTGGTGCACCATTATATTACATATTTCGCGCCAGCAATGCAAGGCAAGCAGTCCTTTTTTTTTGTTAAGAAAAATAAGTTATCAAAATAATTGTAGTATCAAGTGGCTATTAAGATTGTAGGAGATGAGGACAATAATCCTTGCATTTGATATAGCGCTTTATCACATCACTGAAACTCCTTAAAGCCCTTCACAGAATAAACTGTAAAGTGAATTGACTGTGTATTTGCGGGGCGAGATATTAGAATCACGTATGGTCCCGGTCCTCACTCAGAGTCCAAACACACACACACACACGATACACACAGACACACGATACACACAGACACACACACAAGATACACACAGACACAGACAGACAGACACACACACACAAGATACACACAGACACACTCACACACAGATACACACACGCACACGCACATACAGTACTACAGGAAGCCTAATTGATTGTCTCCTGCCTACCACAGGGCACTGAGGCTTATTTTAGTGCCTTCGCCACCACTGAGATCAGCTAACTCAGAAAAGACTAGAAATTCCTACTGTGTCTAGACTTATACCACCGTCTTAACATTTCGGAGCGTTGCAGAATTCAGCAAGAAATTGGCCAAATTATTATAATAATAATAAAAATTCTACGCACTATAAATAATGATAGGAAAATAGCGCAGTGTAAGCCAGGTGCAACTTCTCCCCTTGGAGTAGAACCTGGGCCCTTTCCCAGTGTGAGGGCTCAGCTGCTCGTTGAATAAACTGACTTTAATCCTTGAGGGAACCCTCAAAACACCTCCAGCCACCTTTGCTTAAATGACCAGGTCCTCAGTGTTGTGCTGCGGTTCATATATTGAAGAGCACCTCGCAGTGGCAATTCAGGAATCAATTATAAAATACATTCGAGCGCCATTACATTTTGACGTAAAAATGGTAATAGTTCAACGGGTAAAGGAATTAATCTGGAGATTTCCAATTTAGGCGCACAGCTGGTAAATAAACAGCATCGCTCCCCAACCTTTCCTTGCTTCGCTGCTGTGAAATGAGCATCCAAATCCCATTATATTTCACATTACCCTCTTGGTGGCGGGTACTTTTACCACATTAAAGAATGTTACATTAAAAAATGAGTTCATGCCAGAACGAAACACAAGAAACAAGCCAACACATCCCGGCCTCTTGTGACAGCAAGAAATTCCCCCTCAATTGATACACACACAAAAAAAAATCATCAAAATGATTTCTAAGGTAATACAGCACTGATTTCTGAAGAAAAATAATAACTGACACATTGATAGATCTTTCTTTGTTGGATGCTGTGCATTCCCAACATTTTGGAAACCGTACATTTTCTGTATTTAATTGAAAACTTACTATTTTCCTGTATGGTACAACAACAATAATAATTCTTGCATTTGATATAGCACCTTATCACACCTTTGAGACGTCTCAAAGCATATCACCGAATACATTGTAAAGTGAATTGACTGTATGTGTTGTGGGCGAAACGTAGCAGTCAATTGCGCACAGCAACGTCCCACAAACAGTCGGGGATTGAAGTGACCAATTTATTATTAATGAATGTATTAGGGAATTAACTGTTAGGTCAAGATGGTTAAATGATTTTACACTATTTGGCAAAATATTGGTCAAGTTTCCTTACTCCACACGTCACTGTTCGCCAAGGAGTAAGTAGGAAACCCGGTTGTTAGTCGATGAGTGGATCGCTTTTCCGGGGATGATAATCCCTTCCAAATAAATAAATAATAATAATTTGGTGACTCAATCCACGACTGTGTCCAAATTATTATTACTTATTTGTTGATTTGTGGGACACTGCCATGTGCAATTGGCTGCCGCATTTCGCCCATAAAATAAACAGTCAATTCAGTTAACAGTGTATTCTGTGAAGCGCTTTGAGACGTCTCGAAGACGTGATAAGGCGCTGTATCAAATGCAAGGATTAACATTACTATTTTACAGCTTTTGGGTGTGTTGCTAACTGCCAGCTACAGAGAACTGCAAGTTTTGTGCAGAATTCTGGAATTGAAAGAGTTAAAATGAATGCAAAATGCTTAAGCTGAAGAGCTCCGGTATTTAACTGCCGCTTTTGTTCTGATTAAGCGATGAGAATGAAACGTACAATTAGGATTGTACAGAGCCGATCGTCTGTCAAACTGAGCCAAATCACATCAAAACAAGGATTTTCTTCATAATCCTTCTGAAGCTTTTTTGTCTCCCCTGTGGTTTTTTGGAAAGTGCATTATTACAGTCACACTAAGCACTCTGTCACATTCCGCTCATTCAAATCATTTTAATTAAAACGCGGATATAGCTACGTTTTTGAGTGGGAAATGGTGCAAGGATTTCGATTCTCCTTGCGTTATCTTAGGAGAATGGAAATGAACAACAGTGCAACAAGGTCGTGTTGCTTACTCTTAATGCCTCCAAATGGATCTTTCGAATCCACGGCAAGAAACCTCAGTAGTATTTTCTTTCGCAACTCTGGTTTCCTCGTTTCCGAATTCATTTTTCCTCTTGTCAAACAGTATTTGCGCGGCTTTGTTAAAGGTCATTGACTCGGTGAAACCCTACACCTCCGGGAATCAGTTGCGAGACCACAACATAATGTGGATCCGTGTGTGTGGTATGAGGCTTTCCTTTATCGAAGGAAATTTCGTGTCCGGACAATAATGGTGGCAGAGCAAAAATATTACGCACAACAAGATTACATGTGTGTAATCCGCTGGACAGTGTACAGCATTTCAGACCCAAGCTGGGGTTGGGGGGGAGAAGGGAGGGGAGAGGTAGGGGGTTGACCGATGGCATGGTCGAAGAGGAGAGTTTTGAGATGGGACTTGAAGGAGGCTAAGGAGGGGGTGAGGGGAGTGACTGGGGGATGGAATTCCAGAGGTTGGGGGCACAGTGGCTGAAGGCTTTCCCTCCAATGGTGGGACGGGTGGGTCAGGGGATGTGGAGCAGACCAGAGCCGGCTGAGCGGAGGGAGCTGGCAGGTTGGTAGGGGGTTAGGAGGTCACAGAGGTAGGGTACACACAACTCGACAAGAAGACCCACTTACTCTGTGAAACAGGACACATTAGTCAATAAGCACAGGTTGCCTGTTACTTCAATTATCTCAGCAATATAGACTTGTTTCTATATTTGTTCGATTAGTGCCATCCTGGTTCAGTTGGGAAAAATAATTTGGACACTTCAATCCGCGACTGTTTGTGGGACGCTGCTGTGTGCAATTGACTGCTGCGTTTCACCTGCAGAATATACGGTGAATTCACTTTACAGTGTATCCTGTGAAGCGCTTTGTGACGTCTCGAAGACGGGATAAAACCCTATATCAAATGCAAAGATTATTGCATGATTATCACAAATGTCACACCACTATTTAAAAAAGATGGAAAGGAAAAGATGGGGAACTCTAGGTCAGTTAGTCTCACATCAGTGATAGGAAACATTTTAGAATCATTGATTAATGATTGACTCGTGGAGTCCTGTAGCTCAGTGGTTAGAGCATTCGCTTTGCAAGTGAGAGACCTGAGTTCAATTCCAGGCAGAGGGCGAAACCTTGGGCAAGTTTCCTTACTCCACACAGAGCCTAATAATAATCCCTCCAAAACCCCAAACAATAATAAATTGGTCATTTTCAATCCATGACTGTTTGTGGGACATTGCTGTGCGCAATTGGCTGCCGCGTTCGCCCACAAATATACAGTCAATTCACTTTACAGTATATTCTGTGAAGCGCTTTGGGAAGTCCTCCCGACGTGAAAAGCGCTATATCAAATGCAAGGATTATTATTATTATTATTAAGGATGTGTTAGTGCGGTATTTAGAGGAGCACAATATTATTAGGCCAAGTCAACATGGCTTTACAAAAGGGAAGTCGTGTTTGACAAATCTCTAGAGTTTTTTGAGGATATTTCGAGTAAACTGGATAAGGGTGAATCAGTGGATGTGGTCTATTTGGACTTCCAGAAGGCATTCGATTAGTCCAAAAGATAGGGGCCCATGGAATTGGGGGGAGCATATTAACGTGGATTGGGGAATAGTTAACGGGTAGGAAACAAAGAGTAGGGATAAACGGGTCCTTTTCAGATTGGTGGGATGTGACTAGTGGAGTGCCACAAGGATCAGTCCTTGGGCCTCAGCTATACATCGAAGTTAATATATTTAAATTCGCGGATGACTCAAAACTAGGAGGAAGTGTCAACACAGAGGATCACATTAAAAAAATGCAGCGAGACATAGATAGGTTAGATGATTGGGCAGGTAGGTGGCAGATGAAGTATAATGTAGGGAAGTGCAAAGTCATCCACCTCGGCAACAAAAACAGTAGAGCGGGATATTTTTTAGAAGGGGAGAGACTGGAATGTGTAACGTCCAGAGGGACTTGGGTGTCCTTGTACACCAATCACACAAGGTTAGTCTGCAGGTTCACCAAGCGATTAGGAAGGCGAACGGTATGTCAGCATTCATTATGAAAGGATTAGAGTATAAGAGTAGGGAAGTCTTGCTGCAACTGTATAGGGCCCTGGTGAGACCACACCTGGAATACTGTGTGCAGTTTTGATCTCCTTATTTAAGGAAGGATGTACTTGCCTTGGAGGGGGTGCAGCGCAGATTTACTGGGTTAGTACCAGAGATGAAGGGGATGACTTATGAGGATAGGCTGACCAATTTGGACCTATATTCTCTAGAATATAGAAGAATTAGAGGGGATCTTATAGAAACCTATAAGATCATCAAAGGGCATGATAGAGTAGATAGTGGGAGATTGTTTCCCCGGTTGGAGAAACTAAAACCAGGGGTCACAACCTTAAAATCAGAGGTAGCCCTTTTGCACTGTTTTGAGGAAGAACTTCTTCACTCAAAGGGCGGTGAATGTATGGA